GCTATGGCGTGGCCATAACAATTTCCATAATCGATAACTACTCCGAAATATTAGTCCATCAAATCACGCATTCACACCTCAGTCCTGGCGTCCCAGCGTCTTCGTGTGTTCGTGCAACTGTTTTCACGGTAATTAAACTTCTCTCCTGTTCTCACGTCATATTCGCTTAGGATACTCTTCGGTGCGTCATAAAAATGTCCACCGACTGAAAATGAAACTCAAAGCATGAAGCAATGAAGTTCGTTGCGTTCAGCGTACCTCGAGCTTAGGTATTATTATTATTATTATTATTATTATTATTATTATTATTGGAGGGGGTGGGTTTCTCCATGCACTTAGACCAGTTATTGGTCCATTGTGCATCCCCTTTTAATTTCTACTGTCGCCATACCCTACCGGTACCAACGAGGTCGGCCTTCGGTACCTGATATATCCCCCATCTACCAGAGGCATTGGAGACTACTTGGGCGGGAAACTTGTTGCCTAATTTTGCTCAGAGGTCTCCTAGAGACATGAGAATCTTTTACGTGCCGTAAATCTACGACAAGGGACCCTCCCGGAGGACTTGTTCCCTGAATTTTTCCGCCCTTAAAAATTCCACGACCTCCGCCGGGTTTGAACCCGCGTACCTTGAGTCATGAGGTGGGAACGTTACCCCTAGACTACGGAGGCCGCTTCGAGCTTACGTAGAAACTGGGTCACATGACAAGAATCCCTATCTGTACAGTGAATACAAATCGTTTAAAATCTGCAACAGTCTTAGGTTTTTAAAGAGTGGCATATGATGATTTTAATTACTTTAAGTGTTCATTAATGTGGCCCGCACGGTGCATGTGTGAGTTCAGTCGGAAGAATAGTGTTCATACTGAACGGGAGACTGAAATTCACAAGACTTTGACTTTATACACTCTCGCAAAATATATCTCTGCTTTAGTTTTATTGACATAGCAAATTGTTTTATTATAATGCCACGTGAAGAGGTGATATATAAGACGAGGTTTTGGATGCAATGATTGAACTTATTGCACCTTACACATTCACATTCCTTGGACTACAGGTAATACAGCACTATATGTACTCTACAGAGTTTCCATTTCACTTTTACACACTCACTGGAATTCTCAGTCTTCACTAGCCGTATCCTGGCAACGGATTTATAACTCTCATTCTCACTTCAAATTACATATGGAGTCTTCTTCTCGCAGCCTCATTCCTTTCTTGCCCTTATTCTGCAACTGCCAATTCCGAAGACTCGACTCAGTTCAATTCCTCTGCTCCCAAATTCATATCCCTTCAGGCTGGAGTCCTGAAACTTGGGACTCTCCACTCCTTGACTACTGTTCTCTACTCCCTCGCTTCTTCGAATTGTGTTCTTTTATAACCCATTGGCACGGACTACACAGAAAACACGGCCTTTATTGTAAGATTTGAGGTTTTCACGGCTGTGACACTGAAGAAGACAGTCTTCTGGGATTTGGCACCGTGTGTATGTGGTGTTAATCGACGTTTTGGAGGAACGTATCTCTTCCATCTTCAGGGTAGAAGGAAAAATATAAGAAATCCGCAGGAGAAGAGACCGTGAGAACCCGTACAAGCAGTCTGCCGGAGCTCGAAGCTGATCATTCACTCCATCTAACGCCATGGTCAAGAATGGTGGAGCTGCACCTAAACTTTACGCCTTCATGGCGTGGCGTTTACTTAATTAAGTACAGGGACAATTTCACTTTTTACTTTTAACTTTTATATGTGTAGTTTATTTATTTGTTTATTTATTTATTTTGCTATAAATTGTTCACCAAGTAGACTATAACCCTACAGCGTCGAATGGTAGGGTTAATGAACAACGATTTGAAAAAAGTGTGGAATATAGTAACCGTGGCCCAAGCTGATCATCTGTCTGGACAGGGTCAGAACACACACGGAAACCCTTAGTCAAGATAGGTCATTTCCAAGTCAAGATTTGAACTGAGGGCCTTCCGAATAGGAAGCAAGATTGCCTCCCTTCGAGAAAAACACCGTTGCTTTAGTCCGCAAACGAACTATACGGACCGAGCGACCGGCGCTTGTCGGAGAAGTTAGTGCCAACTTTAGCGGATAGAGGGTGTCGCGTGGTCAGCTAAACGGATCCCTACGGCCGTTAATTTCGGTTTTCTAGACCGGAGCCGCTACTTTTCCATTCAAGTAGCTCCTCAGTTATCATCACGAGGCTGACTGGACTCCGTTCCAGACCAACTACTCGTACTTCCCAGAAAATCTGGTGGCGTCGGAAATCGAACCCGGTACCTCTGGATCTGTAGACAGGAACTCTGCCCACTAGGCCACAGAGAAGGTGAATATATAATTAATAATATATTAATATAGCCGCGAGCTAAACTGAAAGCAGACCGCCTTTAACCTGTTAGACCATCATATTTAACGGTCAGGTATCATGATTAACAGTTCGTTGGCAAATTATTGTGCTGCATCTTGAGGTAATTACGAGCTAGAAATTCAAAATAGGTCATTACCGCTTTCCTCGCAATTCCTCAAATGTTACTTTTTATCACGACTTCATCAAGTCACGTTGCCATCAATTTCGCAAGGAGCGTGAGGCTGGAACACAATCATGCATTTGGAAAATGGAATTCAAATTGCGTGTTGGTCACACGCCGCAGCACGTGTCTCGTGTCCTGTCAGGCTCGGAAGAACAACTGAAACGTGAGACATGACGGAAGTGGGTTATGATCTTCAATGATGCGTCTTTCAAAAAACAATCGAATATTATAACAGAGATAAACGTGTCGCGTTCCGAGCCGCGGCTGACGCGGGAACATTGTGTAGGAGTCAGACTGAAAATGGCATAAGCCACTCTACAGGCGTGACCATGAGATGAGGCGTGCAACAGGCTTACTACATGACTCGCTGTTACGGGCTTCCAGTGCAACAGTACATAAATGTAGTTCCATATCTGATGGCAATTAAAATTAAGCGTTTTAATTAATTTATTTATTAAAAGATGCCAGTAGCTCACCTATCAGTGGCCGCGCAGTCTAAGGCATGTACAGTCTTCGTCCGCTCGAAAACTGGGATCATGGGCTCGAATCTCACTCGAGACACTGATGTCTGTGTGCGTTTATTCTGTGTTTGTGTTGTTCTATGTGTATGTTGCGTCCTTGTGACGGGCTGATCCCCTGTTCAAGGAGTCCTACCGACTGTGTATAGATTAATAAACTGAAAAAGCGGCCAAAGTCCACAAGGCTGTAGAGAAATAGATGGATCATCAGTAACTCAGATTATATATAAGGTAGAATATTAGGACGATGTGTGAGTATAGAACTGGAAAGGATACAAGGAGGAAGTGGTCGTGGCCTAGTTTGACATATTGTCCCAGAATTTTCCTGATGAGACCGAAAAAAATAAAAAGTCATTAGTCAAGACGGCAGGTGTCCGAGTCGCGATTTGAGCCCAGAACTTTACGGATAAACGAACTCCGTGGTCTGTAGTCCGCAAGCGAACTATAACGACCGAGCGACCGCCGCTTCTCGGTTAAGTTAGTGCCAACTTTTGGGGATAGACGATGTCGCGTGGTCAGTGCAACGGAACCTCGCGGCCATTAATTTCGGTTTTCTAGACCGGAACCGCTATTTCCTTGAAATACGTAGCTCGTAGTTCCTCAATTATCCTCACGAGGCTGAGTGGACCCGGTTCCAGACCCACTACTTCCCAGAAAATCTGATAGAGCCGGAAATCGAACCCGGGACCTCTGGATCTGTAGCCTCTAAGTCTGACCACTAGTCCATAGAGGCGGTCGAAGTTCAAATGCAGGCCACTCAAACCGAGACATTCTGTTCAAATTACATGCTATTGTCAGACTGTGCAAATAATAAGCTATTTAAACCTATATAGGCTGGCCCAAAAGTCAGTTAACTGGTTAGTTATAATACGTTAGGAATTTCCTCATTAATTATTGAATCTACAAAAAGTGTTCGAAATGAGATCCTCCATGTTCAATGCATAACTCTTAACGCTGTGATACCGTTCTACAAACCGCCTGCCAGATCTAAACCTGAACATTCCCGTTAATATGGGAGAGCTACTTTGTATATCAAGGCAGCAACAATTTAAATTGGGCAAATATTTGATACGATAATTCTAAAGACACAAATTAAATTTTAGTTGTGGCTGTAATTAATAAAACTGAAAAAGCGTACAACCTTTAGCTCATGAATTCTGCTAACTAATATAATTTTAATTATCTCGGAGTGTCTGCTGCAGGGTCTACTATGTACAAGCTGATTACGAATGCATGGGTGGATTAGTGTACGGACAGACAAGTGTGTAACCCTTTTTGCTTGTATTCGTCAGGTATCTACTTCGAATTTCGGCCATGTTACTATCCATGGGCTTGGAGGTGTTCTCCGTAGTGCCTCTGCTGACGTTCTTGAAAATCCCCCAAAGAGGCCAGGTACTGCCCGTTCCAAATACTTAGCCACGCACATTTTATTGAACGTCCTACCATCAAGAATGTCGTCTTCTGGGATGTGGCGCCATGTAGATATTTTGTAAACCGACGCTTCGGAGGAACGTATCACCTCCATCTTCAGGGTATAAGAAATCCGCCAGCGATGAACCAGCGTGAGCTCTACACGGCTCCACATCCAGAGAATGGCATTCTTCACAGCCGTGAATACCTCAAATCTTACGTCCTACCGTCAGTTCGAGTCGATATAATTTCTGAAACATTTCTTTTAGATAATAAGCTGAGGAACAACCAATTGGAGGTCAGGCTACAGAAGCAGGTAATCAACTGACTGCAATCAGAAATGTAAAGTGGTTTTATGCTGACCATACCGAGTACATACGCCACTGATGCGAGCATTCAGTAGCATTGTTGTGGGAATAGGGTCGATATACCACGGTTGCTATGGTGACGGCAACGGCGTCCTCGAAGCAGGTGAAGCACTTCAACATCTGTGCTCTGTCCGGCGGTTCCCAGTTCTCAGCCGACTTTCAAACGGCGCGGTCCGCTGTGGAGGTTAGTTCGAATGTGTACAGAAGAAGCTATGACTTGAACTCGCGTTTTAAGTGAAACATTCACATCGAATTTCACGGTTCGTATGTAATCTTCATGTTACTTGTTCTTACTGAATCATACAAACTACTACAACGAATATTCTGCTAAACTGATTTGTTGAAAGATCAAATATTCTATAACGAAAAGAGGTAAATTTGTAATTCAGCAACGTTTAATACGTTTAAACAATTTTATGAACAAAAGAGTGTGTGTTTTAGAAACTACTAGGTGACAAAAGTGTGTTATGATCGTGTGAAATGCGCACCTGTGTGAATTCTGAAGTACAGACTACTTCCTGTGCTTGGTGAGTACTACATTTTAGTGTCTTCTGGTACCCTAATAACAATTAAATTGACTGAGGATGGAGTAAAACCGTGAACACTTCTGTACACGTAACGAGTCTTTGGATTTCTTAACTAGCTAAGTCATTATCAGCTTCTCAAGAACGATTATGGATGTAATTAATTTTAAATGTTTAACTGTCTGCTGGTAACAACGCGAAGATTCACATCTGCTACCACCAAAGCCACCGCTGAAGACGAAACTTAGTTTATAATTGTTATATTTCATCACGTGTAAATGTTTCGCTAGATGCGGGAAAATTATGCTTTATTTGTCTGGGGATTGTGGCACGCGGTAGCATAGTTTGTTGAGGCACTATGCTACAAGCCGGAAGGTCGTGGGATCGAGTCCCGATGAGGTGGATTTTTCAATTAAGTTAATCCTTCCAGCCGCACTATGGCTCTGGGGTTGACTCAGCCTGTAACAGAAATGAGTACCAGGAAAGAGCGGCCGGCGCGTAAGTCTGACAACCTTACCGCCATCTGTGAGCCGCTTGTCTAGATGTGGCACGCTCAACGTCTCGCAACCCTATGGTCCTTCATGGCCTGTTACAGGGATAGCTTTACTTTTATTTGGGGGTTATTTAATGACCCTACTAGACCGCCCCCGGGCCTCACCTAGCCTCATATACAATGGTTACCGGAGGCTGTTTCCCTCCGAGGTAAAGCAGCAGGAGCGTGAAGCTGACCACTCAGCCCCATATAGGGCCTAGTGTAAGAATGGTAGGTCTCAACCCCCACTTCACCATACGTTTTCATGGCGTGGTGCTTAACTAACTGAAGTCCAGGGATTTCATTCATTCATTCATCAATGGCTCTACAGCTCTTTGTTCGGGCCCAGTCCTCTTCTTCAGTTTCGTAATCTTTTTTACACAGTCGATAGGACTCCTTTGACGAGTGATCAGCCCGTCGTAAGGCCGCTACTTACACAGAGGACAACATAAACACAGAATAAACGCATACACAGACATCTATGCCTTGAGTGGGATTCGACCCCACGATCCCAAAGTTAGAGCGAGCGAAGACCTTTCATGCCTTGGACCGCACAGCCACATGATCGGCAATAGCTTCGCCTTTTACCTTTCCAGTAAAGGTAAGGTTGTCCCTGTGCTTAGCTAATTAATCACTACACCATGAAGACGTATGGTGGAATGGATGTATAAATCCACGTACCATCGGGGAATGAGCCCCCGGCATCCATTTGATAGGAGGCTGGGTGAGCCCCAGAGCCGGTCTGGACGTCGTGGAGAGGAGAACAATCTTGCCCTTACCGGGACTCGAATTCCCACCCGCGGGCCGTTCAGCCTGCCGCTCCTCCACTTCCCAGCAGCTCAGTTATGTCACTATTTTAACGACATTGGCAGTAGCTCATACTATATGCTTATAGAACCCTGTGACAGAACGAAAATCGCGAAGGGGCGAAGGAAGGATAGCAGGCCTCCAAGCTGGAATTTAAAATCGGAGTGACCCCCCCCTCGCCGAATGTAAGGAAGGAATGCCAGCCACTCAACTGCGACGTTCGGTGACAACTTCCTCCCCCCACCCCATGATACGTCGTGTAGCATTTCAATTGTTAATTCTGCAGTTTGCTGACCTAAGAAGGAAGTAAGCATTTTGACATTATTACCGAATGAGAACTCCATAATTTGTGCAGGTTTAGTAGAATTGTTACGATAGTGAAATCTTGGAGACTACGATAGGCTGTGCAACTTGCTAGGATGGGAGGAGACAAAGAATACACACAGAATTTTGGTAATGAAAAATATCTTGAAACATCGATTAGCCGGAAGAACAACAATGAAATTAACTCTTCATTCAAGTAAAATTACTTAAAACTAACAGTTCCTGCTAACAAATATTATATTACACCTCGGAAAGCTAATAAGAAATACTTGGCAACTATTAACTGAAATTGTAGACCACACGTTATTAACAATAGCAAAGAGGTCGTTATTTTAATTTTTAATTTTAAATTCATCTTCCACATTTTTTTCTGTGGCGCTACAACCCCAATTTGGGCCTAGGCCTACCTCCATGAAACTCTCCTTTTCACTTCGGTTTACTAGATCTTACACATTCGGTAGGACTCCTTGGGCGAGTGATCAGCTCGTCGCAAGGCAAACACAGAAAAACGCACACACACACAAATTAAACATCCATGCCCTGAGTGGGATTCCAACCCACGATCCTGGCTTCCAAGCGAGCGAAGACAGTGCATGCCTTAGACCGCTCGGCTACTGTGACCATCTTCCACATGCTTAATTCTATTAAGTTTGCACGTAAATAAATAAAAATTGAATTTAATTGAACTGAACTGAATTATTGTTAAAGAAGCCGATAGAACACAGATTGGGAGGGCGATGTTCGATAGTCGGCAGGATCTTCGAGATTTCTGCCTCACTTAGTGGGTACAGAACGTGTTTTGGGGGCCTCGGATCCAGTGACTGCGAAGACTCCCTTTCCGCGTGGGTGGGTGTGCGCGTGGCATAACATTATGCTGGCCACTCCCTTCCAGTTAGGGAAAACGGTAAGATTTCGTAGAGCTTTTAACTCCACACTACTAGATGGGCCTTCATGGCCTGTTACAGGGATAGCTTCACTTACTTTACTTACTAGACGTCCGCATGGTGCGGTGCTATATACGGAAATGATTTTATTATTATTATTATTATTATTATTATTATTATTATTATTACTACTACTATTATTATTATAAGAGGAGATATCACCTTGATGCGCTCTTCCTTATTCAAGTTTATCGTGATTCTGTATTTTGCCCTTCTGCTTTGGAAATTGTCGGCCTTCGGGTCCCTGTTCTATATATCCGAGATTTTCATATGTTCAATGT